CTGGTGTACACACACATAAAACTTATGTTCCTTCTTTTAAAAGAACAATACCTCTCTCCATTTTTCAGCCACTAAACGACCAAGCACACCAGGTCCAACAATCAGCAGGTCGTTCGATCCAATGTTACCCCTAGATGAAGCCCCCAATTCTTCACTTGGAACATCTTCAATAACCAAAAAATCAGACAACAAAAATCAAACTAGAGAAGACAATTTCAGAAAGAGATGCATATATCTTAGGAGTAAAGCATGAAACATTCTTCTTAAACATAAAGTCATCAGCATTTGAATAAATCCTTTCAATCAAAGCATCTTGTGTTCATACAAGGTCCGGAGAAGTCCGCACCCTAAGAGTTGTGATGTAGATTGTCTATCCTAATGTAAACATAAGTGGCTACTTCCAAGGCTTTGAACCTGTGACCTACAACTTTATTTGCAAGTATCACATAAATTCGTGTCAAGATATTCATAAACATCATATTACATAAGACTTGGTCTAATTAGCAGGATAACAGCCTGTAAATATCTGATTGACGCAATTCGATGATGATCACTCGCAATTTGTTCAATCGGATTGCCAAGAAAGTAATCAAATATCCTCAGAATTTAGTAATCTAATGGTATCAAATACATCGAAATAGCCCTCAGTAACATCACTCATCAGCAAGTAGTTGTGCAAATGAAACTCAATCGCATAAAGAGAAAAAAGTAGTTTTCAGTACTAAAACCAAGAGTTGAGCAGCAAATTAGTAGTTTCAAAACGTAATTCGTATCATCTGCAATTCGAGTACCAATGGCAGAGGAAGCGTTGACTTGGAGAGAATTGGCGGACATTGTTGGTGATGAATGCTTCAGGAGAGCGGAGGTTGAGAGGTTGGAAGGGAAGAAAGTGAGGTTGAAGTTGGAGGTTTGAAGATAGGAGCCAATTCTGGTAGCAAAGGCAGTAGTAGTAAATGCTATGGTGCCCATGGATGGATAATCGAGAGGAGATGATATTGCTGTTCACAGCAAAATCAACTTCTTTTACTGGGCCTCCACTCTTTCACTTGGGCCACGCTACCCATAGTCCCATTTGGAAGGTTACACTTCCACCTCATTCTAAATAGGAAAAATTACGCAATTAACCAAACTTATACTACTTAATTACTCATCATAGCTATAGTTTGTCTATAATTATCACTCGCGACCAACATTAACCATTAATTACGTGGGCTGACTTCGAGTTTGTATAATTAGCCACATTTGTATAATTCGCGACTAACAATTCTTCGTTTGATTTGTATATGACGATGATTTCCTTTGGTTTTTCAGTTTTATCACCATATACATTCAATCTTTTTGTGTATAACTTTATAAAAGTTTGTATAAACGTGTAGTTTTCGGATTTTGTATAATATAATTTATATAATGTAATTTGTATAATATAATTTGTATAACTGTTTAAAGTTCATATATTTATGTTTGTATCAATTCATTATTTTGAGTTTTTATCATATTTGTATAATTCCATACTTTATATTACTCAATTATACAAAAAACACGCGAATTATACAAACGTACCCGCAAATTATACAAACGAGATGCGGATTATACAAATTATTGCCCTCTCTCGCTCGCCTCTCTCCTCCCTCTCCCAATATCGCTCGCCACTCTACTCCCTATAACATGTAGCCACGAATCGTAATTAGCAAACTATAGCTATGGAGTGTAATTAAGCTATTTTTTGAGTGGTTATATGCGAAAGTTCTCCTTCTAAAAATAGAAAAGAGTCAAAATTCCCCAGTCAGAAATCCTTTTATCTCAATTTTATGATGTGTTTCTCGCTCGTAGAGAAGAAGAGAAAGCAGTAAAACTTAGTAGAACAGTGCAAGATATATATATATAGTCTCTCCTTATATATATATAGATAATTATTTCTTCTTTTTCTAAGTATGTATCTATGAACAGATATATCATGAATCTGATATCAGATAATGTATTTATGTACAAACACACTTGATATATATGAAAGATTCACTAAATACATCAATGCCCTATTAAAATCAATCTATAACTATGCACATATATACTAGATATATCAATGTCTTTTTTATACTAGACACATGAAACTGATACTATATACATTAGATATTTGATATTGGATATACCGGATGAAATTGATATGCACAAATACACTAGCCATATCTATACATAGTTGATACTGGATATATATATAGAGAAAGAGAGATGAAATTGTGAAATATAGATGTAAAGAAGTAAATGGATGACAAATCAAGAGAGGTGCGATACATTCATCTAATTTAGTATATCAAGAGTCAAACTTGGATAAGATATGTAACTAAAGAAACTATCATTCTGTTGAGTAATTAACACATATACTAGTGTTTCATATGCAAGTTGCTCTGGTACCCTATTTGGTCGCCCCCATTGAACTTGTACTATTACCTCATTTAGGTGAACTTAAGATAAAAAATGTTTTTTTTGTTCACTTATTTTTCATTTTTTTTTTTGCCTCAAAAGCTTTGATCAATATTGATTAAACGCCTTATTATATTGTCAATTCCAACTATTACAAAAATACATATTTTCTCATAAATAATTACAACACATACCTCCTTTATTAAGGCTGATAATTTTCGCTTAACTGATACTAAATCAGTATCATATTTGTCTTATTATTAAACGTCTTATTATATTGTCAATTCCAACTATTACAAAAATACATATTTTCTCATAAATAATTACAACACATACCTCCTTTATTAAGGCTGATAATTTTCGCTTAACTGATATTAAATCAGTATCATATTTGTCTTGGTATCATTAATGCTGATAATTTTGCTTAACTGATACTATATATATATCATTAAAGTTTCTTGTTTAGAAATTACTCATTGGTCAATGATACTATACGAGTATATATATGTATAATGTTGTGGTATCATTAAGGTTCAGAAGTTACTCATTAGTCAATGATACTATAAGAGTATATGTATATTGTTGTGGTATCATTAAGGTTTCTTGTTCAGAAATTACTCATTAGTCAATGATACTATAAGAGTATATGTATATTGTTGTGGTATCATTAAGGTTTCTTGTTCAGAAATTACTCATTAGTCAATGATACTATAAGAGTATATGTAATAATATATATATATGTACCGATTTAGTATCAATTAAGCGAAACTATCAGTATTAATGATACCAATACAATATATGATACTTATTTAGTATCAGTTAAGCAAAATTAGTTGGGGGTATATAGTATAATTATTTAGTAGGGTATGAATATAAAAGGGTATATGTTTATAATTATTTTACTTTTATGAGTTATTTGCTTAGTTTTTCCTTTATTTTTCCCGTACTATTTATCCTTCAATTTTATTTTTTTTAATTCTTTACCCCCATCCCCCGCAACAATAACTTTATATCTTGTGCATTCATGTGCCTATACTAAACAAAACAAAAAAAGAGGACTCTTAATATCTTATTTCATATTATATATTGAAAATTTACTGGATCTTATTGTCTTTCAAGTCTCAACCTTTTTTTATGAATGATGGAGTCTTCACTTTTTATCTGTAGTATATAGTTTAACGGAACATGAATATTTTGAAGAGATGTTAAAAATGAAAGAATACAAAAAAAATAAAAAAAATTCAAGGGAGGGAAAAATAATATGTAAAAATAAGTTTTTGGGATAAATAAGATGAAAAAGTAAATTTAGAGGGGTATTAGGATTTTCACCTAGTGTAAATGTATAGTTGATAATTTCATATAGGTTTACGTGTATTTCTGTGTCTTATCTAGAAAAAGTTTTTTGAATATATTGATCAAACCCTATTTCATTTGAATGCTGAATTAAAAATGTCATTTTCCTCTAAAGGATATAGTACTGTTTTTATGATTTTGATGAAATATCCAACACTTCTCCATACTCTAGAAATATCTTTTTCAAATTGGGGTCTAAATGTTGAAGAACAAGAATGGAAACAACTCAGAGTTTATCATGTTGAAGTGTGTGATCATCTTATCTAAAAATTTAAACGGTTAGAAAGCACATTTTTATTATTTAATTATATTTTCAATATATATATATATGAAAATAGACAAAGTTATTTGGCACGCATAGTAGACACTCTTTCACCCATCTTGACATATTCCCTCTCAAAATTGTTATATTGATTTCCAATACAACCACACTACAACAAATAAAAACGACTTTTAGCGACAATATGTATATCGATTTCAAATGATGGATCTCTTGGTTAATTTTAGCTGATAATTTATGTTTCAATGATGCAACTTTTGCTAATTATATCACAAGGCAGATTGTATAAGACCAATTCCAGGAGCTGTTGATGGCAACACTTTTTGAATCTTCATAGCTTGATTAATATGATAATAATAAGGTGAATTATCATATTTTCCTTTCCACCTGTTGATAAATTGAGATGCAAAATAAAAGTTACTCAACATTATTACTTAGGTATAGACGATTTTATACTTATAATATAAATATATAAAGAAGAAATCATATATGAAAAATTAAAAATAATCGATCTGAACCTGTGCTCGTTGTTTTCTGAAATCTGGAGCTCCAAATGTTGTTCGAAATTTTTGAAAATCAAGTTGAGTTGCTCATCCTTCACCTCGTCTAGAGTTGTAGGCCACCACTGAATTTGGATCGAGAATTCAATATAATTCATATAACGAATTTTAACATTTGAGATTGAGACGTAATTGTTACTATTATATATATATTAAAACTGTGAAAGAGTACAAATTATTACACATGGAATGAAAAGGATAATACCTTGGGAGAGTTATCCTTGCTAATGACAATAGCCCTTATGCCCTTTATAATTAACAAAAAAAATAGAATCAGCTTTAACTCAAAAGTACCAAAGTGTTTTTCAAAGTTAAATATTTGCAATCAAAATTAAAATAATTTCTATATACTTGAAACTAAAGTTGCAGACCTGCGTACATACCTCATAGAAATCATTAGATATTGTTCTCCTTAATATGTTATTCGAGATTCTGAATTCTTTCTTCAAACACTCAGATAATGTTTGTTTCCTTCCTTCTCGAATCTACATAATAATTTTAAACATTAGTGTACAATTTAAACATTTTTTTTATCTTGACACTGTAATTTTAATGTATAAAAATATGTTGTTATAGTACTAAAACATAAGTTATAGTCCACTACTGTTATAGTATTTAAACATAAGATATATATAGTCCATTACTTTAATGCGACACAAATATTTTTGTGACATTATAAGTAAATTTCAACAATTATAAGTGAAATTAACTGTATAGTTCCACTTAGAAAACACATAATTATTGTATCTTCTGATATAGGGCGTGTAGAAATTACAAGATCTTAAATATAATTACCGATCTTAGTGTTATTTTTAATCCCGTTGGGGATAATTTCTTTAGGTGTTTAAGCACTGGTTGAATCCAACCATTTCCTAATTTATGTGCCTCAACTTCCTGAAAATAATAAAAAAAAAGAAGTTATAATTTATGGTAATGATGGTTGAATTAATTATTGCTATTACACCACCAAAAAATAATTAATGATGATCTTACAAATGACATCAATATCTCCTCGACAGTATCCTTGGAAAAACATTCGTTGATTATGGACATCCTGCATTGCATTGAAGTAATGATAACATCGAAGAAAGGCATAATACATAGATAGACACTTAAACTTAATCGTAATTGACAAGTAAATAATACTTCAATTTTATGAATGTACATCTAGACACCTCAACTCATCCCCACTTGTTATGTTTTGTCTAGATGATCATTTTGTAAGTTGAAGTGTTCAACTGACACATGAGTAGAAATAAGTTGAGGTGTCTAGATGTACATCGTCAAAGTTGAAGTGTCTAAATTAAGATATCTATCTATATAAATTATAGACTACAAATTGCATTAATTATTTAAGACATAGAATATATATATTACTTATTCAAGATGCTATTTTCTTGTATCTCAAAATCTGTCGAGAATTCCTTGATGACAGATTCAATAGCATTCTCATCACCACTGTTTAAGCTTAATAAACGCTTCTCTAGCTCAACCAATTTCTGTAAACAAAAAAAAAGGTCAATATAATTTATTAGAGAATATTTATTTATTTATTTATGTTGTTGCGTTAATATACGAGCTTGGATATAAAATAATATTCGTATAGTTTTGTCATTTATGAATATTATACATATAAGTCAAAAGTTAAAAAAAAAATTAGTGTGTTGTAGTAGTAGTAACCTGAGAAGGGACAATATGTGTGGCAAGTCCTGCAGCAACAACCTCTTTACCCTTTAGCCTTGCTCCTGTTAACCCCAAGTATTCTCCTATATATACAACATTTATACATGTTTAGTGTTTGACTGGACAAAAATTTAAAAACGAAGAAAAAGAGTCTTAATATGTCATGACATTTATATGTTTTGTATATATTATAAGAGAATGTCATTGATAAATTAAATAATACGTTTTAAAGTTACAGTGTTTAATTACCTAATCGACCAGGAAGTCGAGAAAGCATGTATGAGAAACCACAATCTGGATGGAACCCTATAAGTGTTTCTGGAGTGGAAAATACCTACCAATATAATATTTTACACAAAATTAAGTTAGATTTTAAAATCAAAATATTAATTAGAATTACACATATGTTGGGGATGTATTTATATATATTATACTCTGTGGCGGAGCCATAAATTTCACAGAGAGTGGCCAAAAAAAGTGAAAATAAAATAAAAATTGTTGCTAGTGAGATTATCAAACATGTGAGCACCCTAAGCATTGACTCTTTCAAGGTGTCTAAAACTACTGATCTACAACACCTTATTCTATTACTTATACATACGAATTACGATATCATTTTTCGATAAAAGGTGTCTATCAGACACCCTAACTGTAACATAGCTACGCCCCTAATTATACTCACAGTATTTTCAGTGACAACTGAAAATCTCATTGGAGTCATCAAAGATGCACCTCCGCCCATTGACATTCCATGAACAAGAGCAACCTACAAATCGGTCATCGTTATGATTAATTAAATAGAAAAATTTACTGTAATTTAAAACGAAATTGGGTGAATATTAAAAAAAATTGTTCAAACATCGCCACATAAAATAAAACGGATATTATTTTAAAGAATAGCATGAGAAAATAGAACGTACCAAAGGTTTCTTATATGTATGAATGTGGTAGCAAAGCCAATACATCCGATAAGTAGCTTCAAGGCACGAATCCCCTGAGAAATATATATAATTATTCAATATTTGTAATAATTCAATAGTCTTAAAAAATGAATAACTAAATTAATAGCTTCCTTGTTACGAATAATTACTTTCTCTGTCCTAATGTATGTGATATCATTTAAATTTCGAGAATCAAACAGTTCAATTTTGATAGTGAATTCAGGCATAAAATCTTTAAGTTTCCTTAAAAACTTTATAAAAAGTACTATAAGTCATAACAATTGATAATTTAAAATATTTTAAAAATACATATGAAAAAGTTACGATCAAGAAATACGTACTTATTTGAACCTTGAAATTCAAAAAGTGTCTGCTTACTTGTTTTTCGACCATCATAGAACATTTTCAAGTCCCCGCCAGCAGAAAAAGCTCTTCCTGCTCCCTATTTAATTACATCACAAAAATTAACTCCATATCTTGATCAAATATGTATATATAATTATATATGTTGAGCTAGCATTTGCTTCATTATTAGTAATATACATGCCTTGATGATGACAAGCTTTGTACTATCATCTTTCTCTAATTTCTCGAGTTTCTCTCCCAGCAATAATGCCTAAATTCACACAAGAAAAATAGTATTCATTTAAACAATTACGTATATAATATAAGATGAGATGCATGGCATGTTTGACGATCAAAGTCGGAATTTAAAGCATATGAGTTAGAGATTCTAATCTTGACAGGTTCTAATATATAACAATTTTTCACATAAAATGTTTCTGACCACAAGATTAAAGATCATTTTGATACATTTAAGATTCAAAAGTCTTTTTTTTTTTTAATTTTTAAAAATCCATACCAAATCAAAAGTAGATAATCGTAATCAAAACAGTATTAACTCAGTCTTCCTTTCATTCTTAAAATGTATATGATTAGTCAAATAAAAGGAAGACAATAATATAACATATATATATACCACTTTGCCTGAAATGACATTTAATTGATTTGGCCGATTTATCGTAATCACTCCGACACGACCAATTTCTTCAGCAATAACAACATCCTGCAGATTAACAATAAATTAAATTTGCAGAAAGTACTTAAGAGTTCCTAAATATGATTAATAATACAACAAGTGAAAGAATAATTGAAATTAATTCTTAATTTCTTATTGAAACATTAGATAATTACCTCTCTATCGGGCTTAACTATTTCTTGAGCCATCCGCGCAAATATTAGATAAACACTTGCGTACGTACGTTCTCGCAATTTAATTTTGCCAACGAAATCCAAAACTATATGATATATATTCTTGTAAAAATATTTTTTAAAATAAAAAATAGATAGAAATTACGATACAAAAAGGATTCTGAAATTGACACAAGATATATGAACTAAGTGGGCAAAAGAGACATAATATATAGTTGAAAATAACAATGAGGGTCTCCATTATCAACGTCTATTTTATTTTTTTAAATCACGTGTTAGTATAAAGTAATAGGCGTGGAAGTTAACGCACTTTGTGACAGCCTGACAAATAGGTTCATGGGAGATATCTAAGTGAATCTTCCCAAATATTTCATTCTCATTTTTTTTTAATTAACTTGCTTAAAAAAATATGGATGGTAGACAAAAGCAAACAAAGTTATGATAGATTACTTGTCATTGTATTACTTCTTTATTAATTATTTGGTTTTTTGTATTAAAAATAATACACATTAAAGAAGTTACGTTTATCTATAAAAATATCTTTCACCTATTTAATGGAAAAAAGGTTTAAAGAACTTCAAGGATATTTTTGTCATTTTCATTATTTTATGACGAGATGACTAATTTAGGTACTATTATTTCATTCTTTGACAAGAACAATTTATTTCGATACTAATTATTAATTATGATATAATATAACTTATCTTAGGATTAGTAATCAAACTAAAATAAGACAATTCCGAGGATTATCTATGCTTATCCAGCATATCAAATGAACCTTAATATCATATACTTCTATAAAGATTTTACTAATTATATACCTTGTTTGAATCGTTGTTACTTATTGTATTGTTACTATATATATAATATTTGTTTTAGTTATTATTAAAAATATATTATTTATATTGTATTATTAAATTCATCGTTACATAACAATGAAAAATAACATTTTATGTTTGGTATTATCATGTTTTCACCTAATTTCTGAAATTCATTTGGTCGTTACTTTTCCATACATACAAGTCACAACACTCCCAATATGTTTACAATTTTTTTTTAGCTGTCTTTATAACTTCATGAGTTGCTTGTATTTTTATTTATCGTCATTTGGTGACAGCCTTGCAGAAATATAAAAATGGCGTTGAGATTTGACAAAACATGGGAAAGGATTTTCTCCGTTGTTATTTTTATTTAATACTTTTTAATAATATTGCATGCGTAGGGCATGTGTATTTTTATTATATATATAAATAAATATCAGAGACTAGATCGTTTTCTTTAGTGCTTCTATAAAGATTTATTTGTTTATTAATTTATTCTTATATTAATTTTTTAAGATCTAAGATAAATTATTTCTAATTATAAAAGCCTGGATCATTTTGTTAATAATTCTTCTACATTTTTTAAATTTGTTTCGATATTGTATATGTTTCTTCTTTTTTGTTTCCTTCATAAAAATAAAAATGGATTTAATTCTCGTGTTCTTTTGTGAAGTTGTAAACAACGAAACTCGAAAATTCAAAAATTCTACAATTTTTGTTTATATTTACTTTTTAAAATATTAATTAAAATATAGATGAAAATAGAGATCTAAAAGAAATAATCTTACAACTCATCGTTGATGAAAAATATAGAGAAGAATTTGAATTCTCAATATATGATTGTGAAGAAATAGTATATCTTGATACATTTGATTATTATTTCTCTGAATGAGCTTAAAAGAAGCTATAGATTTATTAAATGATTTAATAAAAAGTCATAAACAAATAGCTTTAAGACTAAAGCAAATAGAGATAGAAATAATATCTCTAAAAGAAAATATCCCAGGAAGAATTACAAACATAATAGAAAAAGTAGAAAAATTTGACGAAAGAGTTGGTCAAAAATACATAAATGGACTTTTAACAAAGAAATTTACAAACAAAAGTTCATATACAAAAGGAAGCCTTGATGAAAAACTCATTCAAGATTTTTTGAAAAAACAAAAAAAATGAAGAAATAGAACAACCTAGGAAAGAGATTCTAGAAGAAACAAAACAAAATGAAACAGGAAAAAACCTTGAACAAAATGAATGAACTAGATGAACTAGTTTATGCCTTATGTCACGCCCCGAGCCTACATCCTGCGCGGGACTGGCACTCGAAGACCATTGCTGGCCCCAAGCGAACCCTTGGCCTGACTTACTTAACTCAGCGGAAGACAACATTCATATCTATAATGTTAAATGAACTTAACTGAAATAAACTAACTGAGAATGTTTTAAAGATTAAACATTCAACTTGGCCAAAAGTGGCAACCCAAGTCTTAACAATAAGATCTGATAATGAAAAGACTCAAAGGACTAACATCTGACTGTCTATGAAGCCTCTAAAACAACTGAGATGGATGT